CTCTCATTTCCCCAAATCGCTCGATCATTGATTTATATCTTGCCCTAGACTCTCATTTTCCCCAAATCGCAAAAATCTTTCATCTTTGGGAAACAAAACAATGAAAGCAAAAAATACCACCTTTTTTTTTTCATATCATTTTATTTTTGTACAAAGACATTTAAAAAATTACAAAATAACTTTTTGGTCCTTTATAAAAAAAAAAAAGGTTGTTTTAAAAAAAAAAAATTCTTCCTGAAAACAATTTTAGGGAAACAATTTGCCAAATCAATTTATAGGGGTGAACATGGTCCGGATTGGACCGGATTGGGATAAAATCAGGACCAATTCATTATCTACGGTTTCTGAAAAATTAGAACCAATCCAATCCGTTTAAATCATGGAACCAATCTGAACCAATCCATTTAAATACTGATTGGATCGACTTAGGACCATAGATTCATGTAATTAAATAACAAAAATATATATATAACACTTTAATTTCATAAAAATATAAACATAGCGCTATATTAGTTCCACAATGGCAGCATGTTTTTCTATAATAGCGATATACTGTTCTAGAATTTAAATAATCATAAGAAAACTGATTTCACCATAAGTATTTAGACCATTGCAAATTAAAACTAAAAACTAACAAACAAAAGTAATAAAATAAGATATTATATGGTTTTAGGTTTGAGTTTAGATTTTATATAGAATAAGAGAAGATACTATGGGGAAGGATGTATAATAAAAATATAGACTATTTGTATACGGTCCAGATCGGTTCCAATCCAGAACCGTGGGGTTCAATCCAGAACCAATCCGTGGACTACGGATTTTTAATTCTTCAATCTGGAACTGAACCGTGGATTCAAAAAACCAATCCAAACCTATCGGATTGGACTGGACTGGATCGGATTACGGATTTCACGAATTCCTTGCTCAGCCTTATCAATTTATCGTATTTTTTTTGAAATTGGAACACAATTAAATAGGCCTAACACAAAACTTTCCGTTGATTTTGGTGTCAACCACAAGCAGTAGCAGAGCCAGAAATTCAACTTAGAGGGGGCACACATTAATGAAAACATTGAATCCCCTCCCCCCATTAACAAGTAACAATGGAATATTATTAAACTTATATATTCCTTTTATTTTTTTGTCAATCGTAAAATATAATATTATAATTATTATGAAATTTATATTACAGTGACTTATATATCCACAATCAACAACCAAATTGTATTAATTCAACAATAAGGAATCTAACCCTACCAACTCAAAAAAGAGCCTTGCAATGGGAAGAAACAACCAACTAAACAAACCCTATAATACTGAACAAATAATCAATTAATTCAATTTTTATCTTGACCTGTCAATTAAGAGCATATAGTAATAACCAAAAGAATAGAATAGAGTAGTTTTAAAATTTAAAAAAAAAATAAGGAATTTCCCATGATTTAAGAAGGGACACTAATACAATTTTTATAAAGAATAAATAATGCATAATCTTTATATATTGAGTTAATATTATAAACATCAAAAGTTTAGAAAGGAGACATGACCCCTTTGTCCTAAGGTAGCTTCGTCCACCGCAAGTGTGTTTATGGTACATTATGATCAAGCTAAATTGGAATCTAATCCCAATCACGAGTGAATTTTTTGTTTGTTTGCCTGTTTGTTTTTTACTTCACAAAACATCATTATCTCAGTTGTAATAGAAAAGTAGTCAGGACTGGAACTGAAAACTAAAGCTTAGACGTACAAGGCCCCTATCCCTAGAGTTATTCAGCCATGGGCTCAATCAAGACTAAGATCTGCTTTTACGTTTTGGCTCTTATTTTGACAATGAACAAGCTCAATACTTGTTGTTGTCAGGAATGGATTAAGGATTATGATTATAGGGGTTCAAAGTACATTTAACTTATAACTAATAATATTTGAAGTTCAACATCAATTTTTACTAACATGAAAAAAAATCAATAATGTTACTATAAAATATTAAACTATATATTTCTTGTCAACGTAGTTGAGTACAAAAAGATGATCATATAATTAAGAATATTTTTTTGCCCATATTCACTTACAAAAAGTAGTAACTATTTCTACATGCATTTATTTATTAAAATCAGGCATCTTCAATTGAGCTCGATGCTCTTTCATAATATCAAAAGCATGAATGATAGAGTCTACATCAAACTCCCGAGCAATGTCTTTTTCAATTATCAAGAAATCACACAGTACCTACTAATTACAATAAATCATAGTATTCAAAAAAAAAAAAAACAATATTTAGTTAATAATTGTACAAAAAAAAAAAGATCACAATATTTAGTTAATAATTGTACCAAGAACAATTATCAAATATGCATCGCACCAATAACAAGTTAACAACCAATAACAAATTAAAAGCAAAATAATCACATTATTCAGTCTAAAATCACAATCACAATATTCAGTCTAAAAGCAGAATAATCACATTGAAGGGATATTATATCAGATAACTTATTAGTGAGAGTCCATGTTTCCACCGTCCACACCGACAACTCCGACGAAGCCTCCACCGGACCACCAACAAACAGTCCGACAACAAAGCTTCTCCGTTTCTTTCCTCGTCTCTTCACTCCTCTCTCTTTCGCTCGCAACAAGTCTCTCAGTTGTTTTCTTTTCTTTTTTTAATCTTTTAGTGCGTTTTGTTTAAACAAGCTTCTCCAGCAAGCCTCTTATAGTTTATATATTTGTAAAAGTTTCATATTTTACACTTTGACCCACTAAAGTTTCTAAAATTTTGCTTTCATCTTGACCTAATTTAAAAAAAATATATATACATGAAATTTAAAATAGACTATTATATATGTTAACTAATTCAAAAAAAAAAATTCAAATAGTTTAAAAAATTGGAGGCTACTCTATATCATTTTGAAATTATCTAAAAAAAATTATGAGTGCAAACTCCTATAATTTTAAATTATTTTAAAATTTCTAATATAATATATGATATTTTTCAAATTTTTGGGAGTGCATCCCCCCCCCCCAACCAACCAACCAACCAAGATCCATTCTTGCTTGTTATTTAGGCCTTGTTTGTCATTCCCTAAAAAAATCAAAAAGTCACTATCTTATTTAAGTCACATCATTTTATTTAAGTCATATAACTTCTCTACCACATCACTTCAAACCCAACATATATTTCATAAAAAGTCAAAAAATACACTTATTTAGAACATCATAAACAACGCTTTAGATTGAAGCACACATATAATAATATTATAATGATTACATTTGTATATCATAAAATTTTTAATCTCATGTGTTATTGTTTTATTAGTTTAAAGAACTCGAAAACACATGTATGTTATTAATTCAGTAATTAGACATGAGATGATGAACATTTTATAATATCTTAACATTATTGACATAGACAATGCAATAGTACTTATTGTGCCCTTACTATCAAGATGAATACTAGTCATACAACTCTTTTGAAAAGTGGGTTAATAGTCACTTTTCAGCTTTTAATTAATTTTGAATTATATCATCTCGTACATTTTTTATATATTTTTTCAAAAAAAATCTAAAAAAAAGTCAAAAAAATTAATTTTTAACTATCTTTTCAAAACAATCCATAATATGATATGATGATGGAACCTTCGTTATTATTAACAAGAAGAGTAGTTGCAAAAAGTATGAAAAAACCAAGAGGGACAAGTAAAGAAAAGATATAACAAGAAGAGTAGTTACAAGAAGTATGAGGAAACCCAGAGAATAGCTTTTTGAGCCCCCTCCCATGACTTAGGCACTGAGAATCGAGAGAGAGAGAAAGAGAGAGAGAGTTGTCCGAGAGAAGAAGAAGAAGAAGAAGAAAAAAAAAAAAGAGAAGAAAATAAAAGAAAAGCAAGAGAGAATACAAAATCTTCCAACTTTGGGAAATTTGATCAACAATTTTAGAAAGAAAACTGAAAAATCTAGAAATCCCCTAGATGTTGATTTGTGATTATGTATCAATTTTAAGTAGAATATAACAATACCAATCAAACAATCAAGACAAGAGACACAGCGATTTAACGTGGAAAAAACCACAATTGGACACCTCCAACTGTGATCAAAAAACCACGGGCAACAGCCACAAGAACAATCCACTAAGAAGAATTAAAGGAATTACACAGGTATACTCTCAATTACCTAGCGAATCCACAACGCCTAATTGAACCAACCTTTATGTGCCTCTTCCAACCCCATCTTCACCACGGAATTGTCTTTCTGATGAGCCACTCCGGATTCCACCAAAGCTTCAGGCTCGAATTCTTCAGAATACACAACTGAAGAACAACACTCTCTTTTGTAGAACAAAACACAACCTTTGATGTACTCTCTTTAAATCATGAGTTTGAAATACTCAATAAAAACACCAAAGAAAACTAGCCAAATCTCTCCAAGTATAAACCTTAAGATCCAAAAATAAGATCTGGAAAGTCAATCTAGTGTTGGAGAAAACCACTATTTATAAGAAAACCAAAGCAATCCTAATTTCAGAAGAAAACCAACTTCTAGTAATCAAATCTGGAAATCTGTCCCGCGATCTCCGCTCGAGCTCAACACAGCCCGCTCGAGCGGACTGACCAAAAACTGCGTGCGAACAAACTGAGATGCGCTCGAGCGTAGGAGAATCCGCTCGAGCGTAAAATCACACCTTCCAGTATTTTTACAGGCGACTGCAGAGATGCTGAGAGCTTCCAATCCCCGCCCGAGCGTCACTTTCCCCGCTCGAGCGGGAAGGCCAAAAATGGAAAAACTGGAAAAAAAAATAACATGCTCGGACAGCTCGATCCCCGTCATAATCAGCGAAGTGGCAATCTTGAAAGCATTATCAACACAAACTTCTCTGAAAGGCTTGATTCGGGTTGGATTCGCATCTAAACACTCAAAGTCTCACTGAAATAAAAAATGCGAATAAAATTACAACTCAAAGGAGTTTTGTCAAACGGGATTGCCAAGAAATAAAACCTAACAAAAACAAATTTTAAAATAAAATAATTAAAAAAATTGATTCAAAATACAGATGAGTATATATCCTAACATGCGTCGATGTTGATAGTAAAAGTAACCATTTGTTCAACTTGAGAGGCTCGATTTTGGTGTACTTGATTAACCATATTTTTTTATTTTTATGAGGCTGCTATTTTCTCAAAGAGGCCAAGCCTATTATCTGCAAGTCTTGAGTTGTATGCAGATGTCTTGTACTCAAACCATGTAAACTCTTTGTACAAGCTGTCTTCTCCTTCCATAAGTGAAGGCAATGGAGCTATCTTTTCACTCAATGGGGGTCCTCCAAAATAGATCATTGAAATCCTTGCTTTCAAACTGTTTGCAACAACCCTATGCCTCACACTTTTGAACCTTCCATTAGTCATCACCTGCAAATCCACCACTACAAAAATTAGGATTCGCCATTTAGGCAAAAAAAAAAAAATTTTAATTTATTATTTTTTTTAACAAAACAGAAAATTAAATTGTCAATAAAACACGTATATAGATCAAATTGTTGAAGCATTGTTTATGTTCATTGGAAAAATAAAAAGGGTTATGCTAACAATAGCCAGCAACTACAAGACGGTTGTCAAGGTGAAAAAAAGGTCAAAATAATTAAAATTACATAGATTTTGTTAACATATACTCCTAGGGTACATGTCAAAAACTTAAAAAGATTGTACATTTAACATAAAAGCATGTGCAACAAAAATGTACAAAATGTTTAAGTCTTTTTAAAGGGTATTTTGGGAAGCACCAAAAAAGTCAACTTTTAGCTTTTTATTCATTTCGGGTCACATTACCTCTTATATTTTTTATTCACAAAAAGATAAAATAGACTAAAAATGTCAAAAAAATAAACTTTTTACCAACTTCCCAAAACACTCCTAAATGTGCAACAAAAATGTACGAACTTACATTTTTTTAACATGTTCTCTAAAGATACACAATAACAAGACTGAATATATTTTACACGATCTAAACATTTGACACATTCGAGTTCAAAAAAATAAAAAAAACATTTTACACATGAATAATGCTAAAAGCAACCAAATATACTTTACATACACTTTTTATGCATATGTCGAGACTATTGAGTGATTATTAAAAAAAAAAAATTGATGTATGAATGCCTTATATAATACTTTTTACACATAAATCAAGACAAACATTTCCCAAATAAAAAAGATAGAAAACTATAAAATAAAAATAAAAGATAGAAATATAAAAAAATGCACCAAGGATCCTCTAGAGTGAAATTTCTCTAAAGTTTCCTAAAATGCTATATTGTGTGGTTGAGATTTACTGGCAAGTCACATCAGAAAAATTGATGTGACTTGCCAGTAAATTTCAACCATACACTGTAGCACTTTAGGAAACTTTAGGGAAAAATCATTCTAGAGGATCCTTGCTCAAAAAAATGCTACTATTGTTCATGAAAATAGTACAACTTGGACATAAATAATGACATGGCATCATATTCATTGGAGATTTGTTAGAAACTGTAACATTCAAAAAACACCATCTCCATACAGACATATATGTGCAAATGTATATAGGAAAATTCTAATACACACCTTTGAAAAAGATGTATTACATACGCTGCTTGTTATGTTATTTTTCTTTTTAGTTATGGTTAATTTTTTTTATTTAGTTATGATATTATTTTAATTATAATTCATGAAATTTTTAGTTACGTCTTATATTGTGTTTAGTTATGACATTTATTTTTAATTATGACTTAAAAAATAGAAAATTATGACTTCGAAAATAAGATGCATACATAGTGTTTTCATCTAATTATCTATCAATCTATATATGTATATATATTACAAGTTGTACCTGCAAAGAATCACCAACATTGATGAAGAATGAATTCTGGTCAGGAGGGACAGAAATCCAATTCCCATCTCTCAAAGAGATTTGAAGTCCGCAAGTGTTGTTGGATCTTAGAACAGAAATGATTTGTGGGTCAGTGTGCTCTCCAAATCCAATCAAATGCTTACCATTCACATCTTGGATTTCACGGCATGGAGGGTAGTGATTAAGCCTGAAAACAGAGTCACTCTGTTCATCCATCAAAAGCTTACTCAACACATTCCTTTGCTGAATCTTCAACCCATCAGCCAATAACTCTAGAACCTCACAAGCCATCTTCTTCACAGCTGACACATAATCGTTAACAACACAACTACAAAAACAAATTAAATTTAATAAAAGACTATTCAATTTCAGTGAAGTAAAATAAGGGGCTGTTTTGATTATCAGCTTTTGATTATAAGGGGCTGTTTCGATTTTTGATCGACTCTGTTTCGATTCCTTACCGAAACATTTCTGGGTTTTTGCCGAAAATTGATACAAATCTCTGATAATTGAATTCTGGGTTTGTTGTTAGGAGGAGATATTCGACCCAACCGGCATCGCCGTTGGTTCCAATATTCTTGTTTCCATAGCCAAATGGGTTAGGAGGCCCTGTTTTTTCTTTTTCAAACAGGGGTGAGGAGAAGAATTTTAAAGCTTCTGATTCCAATTTGTTGATGAGTTCTGTTGGGACGCCATGATTGATCACCTTGAAGAATCCGAACTCTTCGCAGGCCTTGACGAGGAGGGTCTTCGTGTCGGGTTTTGATAGGTCTATTAAGGGAATGCTAGAGGAGAATGTGGTGGGTTTGGAGGTTTTGATGACAGAGTACTGTTCAATTGCTGGTTTAGATAAAACCACCATTGTTGGTGAAGTGCAGGATGATGAAAAAGAAGATGAAAATTGCAGAGATGGGTTTTTTGGAGTTGGGTTTGATTCAATTAGAGTGTTGTTTTTGATATGAGTGAATGGAAGAGTTTGATGTTGAGTTAGCAAAGGCCATATGAACAAATGGGTTGTGAATGTTATGCTATTTATAGTTGGAAAGGAGGACAATGCGTTGGAGGGTTCATATTAGTTAAATAAAATAATAAAAATAAATAAATTATACTTTTAACCCCTTAGTTTGACTCAAATTTTAATTTGGTCTCCATTATTTAAATCTTAACAATTTGGTCCATGCACTTGAAGTGTAGTTTCAATTTGATTATTCCGTTCAAGTAATAGATTAAAATTAACAATTTTAGTGGACTTATCATTCTCCTAAGGTGTACACATAAAGAAAAAAATTAATCAAAAATTGGATGGAATAATCAAATTAAAATTGAACTTATGTTGGAACTTAATTGTTCAAATTCAAACTAGAGGGGTTAAAATTATAATTTAACCAAATAATAATAATAATAATAAAAGAATCATTAATTTATCTATTCCTTTATTTATGATAGTAAGGCCAAGTTTGGAAAGACTAAATAAGTGCACTTTTTGACTTTTTAGGAAATATGGGTTGGATTTGGATTGGGTTTGAAGTGATGTGTTAGAGAGGTGATGTGACTTAAATAAGATGATGTGACTTAAATAGGATAGTGACTTTTTGACTTTTTGAATTTTTTTGAGGATGCCAAACTTGGCCTAAATAAATCTTGTCTTCATTATGGGTCTCATGATCCATTAAACAACAATTTGGTATGTTAATTTTCTATTTCAACGAAGTACAATAAATTAGAATTACACATAATTTTTTTTAAGTTTTAAAAAAATGAAAATAAGATTCGCCAAACTTTTGATCTCCTTATAAGACAAAATAAGAAAGATTGGAAGATACTTCTTTCATGTAGTTTTTATTTTTTATTTTTCTTAATTTGCTAAATTGAAAGCTTGATAATTGTTGGCAATCGTGTGTTCCATTATAAAGGAAGAATATCCGTTTCATTGCTCCCTAGTTTTGAAGTTTGTCAATTTTTTAAAAAAAATCAATCATTTCAAGTAAATAATTTTGAATGGGTGCTTCTTGGAAAGGTGCTTTTATGAATTTTTTAACAAACTAAAAATTTGAAATAGGACCCCTACTTTATTGCAAATACAAACTATAATTGTTTAAGTGATTAATTAGGTGGAAATAAATAACCATTTGTTTGTGTACATTAGTTATAATTAATGGAGAATGGACAATTTAAACTATTTTTTTCATTATTATTCACAGCCACCGCCTACCCTTATTGTTGTCCATCACCTCCCATCTTTTTCCCTAATCCATTGTCATCATTTTTTTTTTCCGTTCATTACTATTTCTATTTTTTACCAGCATTCTCTATTTCTTACTAGCGCTCTCTATTTCTTTCTCCATTTTATAGTCAATGTTATCGTTCAGCACTACCGATAAAACGCTGTTAAATCATTTTAATTGACTACGTTTCATTAATTATAATTAATATTATTTTAAAAGTTAAAAATTTAATGTAAAACAATTAAAAATTAAAAATTGATTTACTATTAGGATTAAATTGTGTGTTTATTTAGTAATTTTTTTATAAAATAACAAATCAATATTACTTTTAAAAAATAATTGAATATTAATGATAAATTATAACAAATTTTCTATACTCAAATCATAATTTCACAACACACAAACTCAAAATACAACTCATACTCTCAAATCACATTTACAAAACTCTACCAAACGCTACCTTAATTTTTTTTAAAAAATTTTCAACTATGATGAGCTATTGATATGGTGATGATAAATCTTTTAAAATTTATTGGGAATAACAAGGAACACGTTGAAAAGATGGCCCCCCACTCGAACAGTGGTGTGTCGACTCGTGGTCGGGGACAGTTTGAGAGACACCGAGGTCTTTATCCATGACGTGGGCTGTTGTGATTCGTAGCTTTCACTGTCAGTCAAAAATATACATCTTCTCTAATCATTGTTGCCGTGGGCACTAGGTCTAGGGTCCCATTGCCCACTCCTGGGACAAATTATTTGGTGTTTCTGGGCACAATCACATATTGGTCTAAGAATGTTCTCATTTGTTAAAAGGAAATGAAATTTATAATTTTTGTATTAAATAATTAAAAAATAATCGTGGGAGTCAGAAAAAATATATATATCCGCTTATTAGGGTTAATCTAAATAAGGCTTACAATGGGTCTAGCCCAAACAAATATCACACCACTCATCTATATAAAGGGGCATCTTAAAAGAGAGGTATGTTCTTTTTCTATACACTACACACCAACACTCTTAATTTCCATAACTTTATTCTTTCAATCAGAGGACTAACTTTAACATCGGAGTGTCTCTGGCCGACAATCCCGATTGGGTGGCGCCGATCATACTCATCTTTGCAGACACACAGGAACAAAGTTCATCCCTTCGTTGAATCTCTCCAATATTCATGTGAGAGGATATTTTATGGTCTCACAATAACAATGAAATGGTAGGCATGTATATAGTGATTAGTAAGAAATATGAACACACAGCGTCTTAAGAGCACCAAATAATTTTCTTATTAATTGATAAAATGTATTTGATAGTTATCATAATAATTACTTAGTGCTTACTCTGATTGATAGAATAAATAAAATTATTAATTCGTCTTATATTACCAAAAAGAATAACAATTTACAAACCTAATTTGTATATAAAAAGTTCATATAGAAATAAGACTATCATTGTTATATTATTCTTGTCTTAAATTTGTTTAAAAATTATGTATTTATATAATTCTTTTATCTAAAATAGCAAAAATTATGATGATGAATGATTTGTGATTTATGAACGACATTGCCATGTTGCGTCCCTCAACCATCAAATAATTTTTCCATTCTTCCATTTGTAGGCATCTCACTAGCCAGTTGGCCAATGGCATCACTGGTGTCCCCTTCGCTTCTATCAATCATTTTTTAAATCAGTCAGGCTAGAAAGTCTCCAAATTTCAAAGCTCAATTATCTCGAATCATGTTTTATTTATTTATTTATTTACTTATTTTATTTTATTTTTATATAAAAAGTGGTTATATATATAAGGGTGTGTTTAAAAAATCAACAATGATTCATCCCATTAAAAATATCACCACTAATAGCATTAATGCATTAAAAAAGTAAAAAAAAAAAATACAACTCCAAAATCAAAACATCACATCATTAATGGTGGGACCCACTGCCACCTAATTAGTGGGAGCACTAATTAGTGCTCCCAAGCATTTTTCTTAAAAAATTAGACATTTCATATCAACTTAGCTTATATGCTTTGATAAGGTAAGTGAGTTGGATTGGACTGGTTAGAGAATAAAATTGACTGATCAATTAAGTTGCTAGTTCAAATATAGTATGTACTTGTATAAAACTGTATGGAATTAACAAAGTTTAACCAAAAATCTAACTGATCAGTCAATTTTATCACCCAACCAGTCTAACCCAACTTACTCACCTTATCAAACCACACAAGCTGAGTTGGTACCAGATGTCTATTTTTTTAGCACACCCCTACACATGACCACCCTTGCAATAAAAAAAATAAAAAAACAATTTTGAGGCCTCATTTCTCTTTTAGAATAATGTTAGAGATATTAAATTTTCTATCAAATAAATGATCAAATATCTTACATAAGTGTGGAATCTACAAAATTACAAACCCTACATATATAAGACATTTAATTATTTATTTGATAAAAAATTTAAAATCTATATCATTTTCTTTATTTTTGTACTGTGGGCTTTGTTAAGGGCTGGGATTTCCTCAGCTCAGGTCAGTATTGGACGTATTGTTTCAATCCATAATATTTATCATTAGTTTTGTTTTGTTAATTTTTACTATATATTTCATAAAGTTTTTCTTGTATATTATTTTTTTTTTTTTAAAAAAGAGTAAATTAATCAGATAATTGTAATATATTTAACTTATTACATTTATTATAAAAAATTTTAATAATTTATTATTAAAAATATATTTGTTTTCTTTTTTTTTTTTTGGAGATAAACACAATAAATTGAACATATGTAATTATCAAATCACCGTAATTCTTTTCAATGATGACATATACGAATAATAATATAAAATAAACAATTTGAATCATTGAAATGGGATCCATCATAAACCCTATAAGTCGGAAAGTGCCGTTTGACCTAAATTCAAAATGGAGATAATTTGTTCCCTTTTTTAAGATTTTAAATTGGAAAGTCTAGAGTACTAAAAAAATTAGTCAAAAATATCATGAATTTAAAATCTTAGACGTATAATCAAAGTTGTTGTGGAGTTATATCATAAATGAATCTTAGTCGTTAATATTAAATTTTAGATATATATTAGTTACAAAATGACTTAGACCCCCAGTGGGGTGCCCCCACCACCCCCACTGATTTTTGATTGACTTAATTTTTATTTTATTTTATGTTATTTTATTTATTTATTTCTCCTTTCTTTGACTCCCACGTGTATGTGGGGGTGGTGGGGGTCACCTCCATGTGGGGGGTCTCTAGCACTGCTGTATTTTTTTTATGGGATTATAACATTACTAATTTGAAGTTCGTGAGAAAAAAAAAGAAAAGGAAATAAAGAAAAAAAATTCAACTTAAGTTTGTGTGTGTGTGTGTGCGCGCGCGCGTGTAAATGACACTAATTTTCTACATAATTGAAGAAAATATATTGAGCTTTACAAACTTGGTACAATTATATTGAGTATATATTAAGTTTTAATATATATAATATTAGTCTCATTTTCCTGGATTATATGGAAAGAAAAATTGATTATTCATCTATTTCACACTAAAATATATATTTTACTTAATTTATTCTTATATCTATAGAGAATCTATATTAAAAATGAGATGTAATTATGTTAAAATTGTTAAGTTTATTGTATTTTTTATAAACTTCAAGAGTGATAAGTGTAATTTGCCCTGAACTTTTTTACATAAATTATTTCTCAGTAAAGATCTGTGCATAGAATCCGTGTCTGCATATAGAGAAATATATCCAAAAGAGATAAATGTTTGGTTGAGATT